TTGTCCTATCACTGGCCACCACTGAAAAGTCTGGCCCCATCCTCTCAACACCTGCCCTTTAGATATGGATAAACATTGATCAGATCCCCTCTCATCCCAGCCAGAGCTGGACTCGCCATGGAAAACCCACGTGCATGGTGATGGGGATCAGATGAAAAGCGGGGTGCAGTCCCAGCTGGAGGCACCCCAGGGCTCCCAGTGCTGCATCAGGGCAGGGGTAGGACCGGATCACCCCACCAAGCTCACTCTCCTCTCTCTCTCTCTCCCCATCCGCCGGCAGATGAGGCAGGGAGCGTTCCTGGTGAACACGGCGCGCGGGGGGCTGGTGGACGAGAAGGCCTTAACCCAAGCCCTGAAGGAAGGACGGATACGAGGGGCTGCGCTTGATGTGCACGAGTCGGAACCGTTTAGGTAAAGCTCTGGCTCGTGGGGCCTTTTCATGGGTGGTTGCCCTCTGTACACAACACCCACATGCCTTGTCACACATCACCAGCGATGGGCAACAGTCCTGCTGGTTGAGAAAAGGCCGTGGCACCTTGCAGCATCCATCAGGCGTGGGATGGCACCAGGGTTACAGGTGTTCAAAGGGACTCCGGGAGCTTAGAACAAGAAATCAGCCTGTGTCTTAAAAACCAAACAAACAACCAAATAAAAAACCCACTCCCAAGTCTGTGAGGACAAATCTGTTCTGTGTTGGACATTTTTGCCCAGGGGCTGCTGGCAGCTGGGAAGTTGGGCTCAGTTATAAGCAGGAGCGCAGCTTCTTTCACCACAGACTGGGGACGGTGGCAGGACTAGTTAACTTGTATTTTCATAGAATCATAGACTCATAGAATGGTTTGGTTTGGAAGGGACCTTAAAGCTCATCCAGTTCCAACCCCCCTGCCAGCAGCAGGGACACCTTCCACTAGACCAGGTTGCTCAAAGCCTCATCCAACCTGGCCGAGAACACTTCCAGGGAGGGGGCATCCACAACTTCCTTGGGCAACCTGTTCCAGTGTCTGACCACCCTCACAGTGAAGAACTTCTTCCTAATATCTCATCTAAACCTCCCCTCTTTCAGCTTAAACCCATTTCCCCTTGTTCTGTCATTAACTGCCCTTATGAAAAGTCCCTCCCCAGCTTTCTTGTAGCCCCTTCAGGTACTGGGAGGCCTCTATAAGATCTCCCCGGAGCCTTCTCTTCTCCAGGCTGAACAGCCCCAACTCTCTCAGCCTGTCCTCACAGCAGAGCTGCTCCAGCCCTCGCATCATCCTCGTGACCCTCCTCTGTATTTGTCCCAGCTGCTCCAGGTCTCTCTTGTGTTGGGGGCTCCAGAACTGGACACAGTATTCAAAAAAGTTTTCAAAAACTATTTTTTTTTTTAGTGAAATTGTGCTTCTACAAAGGACAAACTTGCATACCCACTCCCTTCCACGTGCAGCCTGTCCCTGCATCCCCACACTGCTGAGAGACACTCCCAGGCATTCATTCCTCTGGGAACATTATGAACAACCACCCAGTCGGTTGGTTTTTCAGCCCTGTTGGTTCTTTTTTTGGTTCATTTTCAGTTTGTGCCCTGCACTGGAGCTGTGCTTCCACCCCAGTGATTCCGTGGCCATTTCAGGCTGGCAGGACACTGTTGGGCTCCTTCCACCCCAGGTGCTGCAGGCGAGGGGCTACCAAGGCTTGCCCACACAGAGGGCAGCCCCCAGCCTTTTGCCCTCATCATATATTTTATTCTCTTTGCATACATTGACTAATCTCTCTTTTTTCCTCCCTCTGCTCCCAGTTTTGCTCAAGGCCCATTGAAAGATGCTCCTAATTTAATCTGTACTCCCCACACCGCTTGGTACAGCGAGCAGGCGTCACTGGAGATGAGAGAAGCTGCTGCTACTGAGATCCGACGCGCGATCACAGGTACTCGGCCCTGCGGAGAACCTGGGGCTGGCTCACGTGTGTGCCAGGGGGGACAGAGACAGGGGTCCACCCTGCTCGTGTCTCAGAGGGGGACAGAGACAGGGGTCTAACCCTGCTCGTGTCTCAGCAGGGGACCGGGACAGGGGTCTAACCCTGCTCGTGTCTCAGAGGGGGACTGGGACAGGGGTTCACCCTGCTCGTGTCTCAGCAGGGGACCGGGACAGGGGTTCACCCTGCTCATGTCTCAGCAGGGGACCGGGACAGGGGTTCACCCTGCTTTTCTTCCCAGCAAAAGAGCTGAGAAATTAAACTTTATTTTTTTCTGTGGTTGTGTGAGGGGTTTTGAGGGGGTTTGGTTTTGGTTTTTAAATCAGTAAAGCACTTGTGCAGCATGTCAAAGACTAGTGTCTGTGACTGTGATGAAAAGGAGTGAAGCAATAATTGCTGCTCCTTTTACTGGTGCTAACCCAAAAAGACTGTGGCCCACAGCTGACTGCACATCAAAACCAAATCCTAAAGCAGTGAAGGCACCTGTGTCCAATTCTGGCTGTAACTGAGCTTGTCCCAAGGTGGTGGGCACCATACTCCAGCAAATGAGCACTTCTCTTGTCCTAAAATTTTCCCCTCATTCACGTGGAAGGCAGAGCTTCACGTCTGGCTCGTCCCTGCTTTGCAATCAGCCGGCTCAAGGCAACAGCGTTTCTGAAAGCAGAGAGCTGGGATTCAGGGTGGGAAACTGGTCTCCAACCCTGCACCTTGGGGCAACTAAAACATCCTCCTGGAACAAGGGATGTGGGATTTCCACACCTCCCCACCCTTAAACCAACAAATACAGTGAAACGGGGAAATCGTAGCTTATTATTAGAGGGTGATAAAGCTCAGACTCACCCGCCACTTCCTTACCTTTATTCCCAACTCCAGGGCGCATCCCAGAAAGCCTAAGGAACTGCGTGAATAAGGAATTCTTTGTCACAACAGCTCCGTGGTCAGTAATAGATCAGCAAGCGATTCATCCAGAGCTCAATGGTGCCACGTACAGGTAAGCTGGAGAACGGGACCACGGCAGCCGGGCTTTGGGAAAGGTGAGCAGACAGCCCAAGTGACAACTGCCACCAAGGACACAGCGCCGGGATTGCTGACACTGCTTGATTTAACCAGGGGTTTATAAAGAAGCCTTCATTCGGGTGGGCCAGTGGCACTTGCACAGCATCTCCATAAGCAGCAGGACCCCCCCAGAGCTGTAAACGAGCAGGACACGACTTCTGAACTGAAGCAAGGACTGCAGAGTTGCTCTGTGCTTCTGTCCATGTGGCTCGGGGTTCATGAGCCAGCATAAAAACTCCTCCACAGTCAGGTGGCCTAATTGCCACCTAAATCCCTGAGATCAGGGTTACTTATTGTTGCACTTTAGAGGACTCAAAGCGCGCCAGCAGGAGATATTAGGCACGAGGACTCAGCTGGAGCATGGGCAGCCTTCACCCTGTCACCACTGCCAAAAATATTCTGAGACACACACACAAAAAAACCCCAAATCTGTGGGGCACATCCTAAAAAACTGTTATTCTGAGAGAGGAAAAAAACCAAAACCCAAACAGACCTGTGAAGCACATCCAGGTGCGTTACAGGGCAGAGGCAGGCTGGAGCTCATCCGGCAGCAGAGCCCTGCAGAGGGCAAAGCCCAAGGAACACACAGTTGCAGGTCGCAGGCAGCTGCTCGCTTTGACCAGGAAAACATATAGATGGAAACATCCAAACCTGGTGGAAGCAGCCGCCTGGGTCCCGTTTCCAACTGCTCCACGGCACATGGGCAATGCCCTGGGACGAGCTTTGGCTTCCCGGCTTAACCTCTGCAGGGTGCATCATCCCTGCCAAGCTCCTCGGGAGCGGTGGCCGCGGTGCCCCCCTACCCTGGGTCAGCTCAGCACCTTCACAGCAGGTAAAACCTCCCCTCCCCTCCCTGCTTCCCCCTCCACCTTCCTCTCCAAGGTGATGGCAGCAGCAGGGAGGTGCTGGTGGCTGGGTCCCTCACTCCCCACACGTCCAACAGATCTCCAGAGGGTTTTGGCCTTGTTGTCCCCACGTCACATCAGCCCTGTGGACAGCTCAAGAAATTCTCATTTCTTCTCCTTTCTCAAACTCAGTGTCAATTCCTGGACTAAGTGTCACTCACCCTGCTCCTAGGAAGGCTGACTAGATCCAGCCCTGTTGTTTCAGCTCTGCTCTCTGGTTACATGAGGAAGATGAAGGACAACTTACAAACCAGGTGGAGGTGTTCCAAAGCAGTCACACACAGCGCTATCATCACACTAGCGTTTGGTGTTTCAGAGAGCATTCAAGATGATTCCTCACACAGGTTTTCAAAAGAGAAAGGCTTCCTTATGGTTCAGGAACCCCTTAGAAGGTACAGAACCAGACACAGCCTCTGTGTCATAGTGGAGGACACTTACCCAAGCCCCAGCAGCGCTGATTTCACGTTTAACCTCGGAATTTAAAAGCAAAACCAAACTCAGTTCTAGTAGAGAACTGGACGCTCTTTGCTGCTCGTTTTCTCCGCAGTGGTGGTTGGGTGACTGGCCCTGTCTGTGGTGAGATCTGACGTGACAAACCTGCCTCTCTCTGTCCCCTCTCCCAGGTATCCCCCTGGGATGGTCAGTGTCGCACCGGGAGGAATACCGGCAGCTATGGAGGGCATCATTCCTGGAGGCATCCCCGTTACTCACAACCTTCCCACGGTGGCACATCCTTCCCAAGCTCCATCTCCAAACCAACCCACAAAACATGGGGACAACAGGGAACATCCCAACGAGCAATAGCAGATAATTTAAAATAAAAAATAAATAAAAAAATCATTCAATAAACTTGGGACCAAGAGACATTGGAAAAGAAGTTATACATGAACTTAAGAAAAAAAAAAAAAAAAAAAGCATTTGATACGAAATTTGTAATGTTGATTTTTTTGGACAGACGCATCATTGATGTTCCAGCGTTAACGACAAAGCGAGAGCGGTCAAGACTGGGGGGGAGAAGCCCTGAAGAAGTCACTTGCTTACAGAAGCGCTGAAAAACTAGGACGTGAAACGTTAATGATCAACTTCTGTTCTTGTGTGTTGAGTTTCCTTCATCTGTGCATCAATCACATGAATAAAAATAGAACTTTTTTTTTTTTTTTTTTTTTTTTTGGCACGTAACACATAAAAAAAAAAAAAATTTTTTTTTTTTTTTTTTTTTTTAAAACCCCCCCCCCCCCAACCTCGATTCCTGGGGAAGGACAAGGGCTTGGGCACCTGTTGTCAAACCACGGCATTAACCAATCCTTACAGAATTAAGGTAGAAAATTTCAGAGGAAACCATGATGTGGCTTCAGCCCTTTCTTTACTCTTGTGTCTGGTCACCTCTTCTAACAGGAGGCATCAGTACTGGCTTAGAAATGGAAAAAGGAGAAAAAATAATAATAATAATAATAAGAGGAATAATAATAATAATCCTTTTTGCAGTGTCACAGGGCCAGTGACCTGTAACAGAATTTCTCCTGCCAGGTTTAAGCTGTAGCTGTTCCAGCTGGGATCTGTGGGATGGGGAGGGCAGGAAAGGCTCCTGGCAGCAGCCACTGCCCTCCCTGGTTAACGACAAGACAAACTGCCAGGCTCTTCTCTGCCCAATACACTGAATAAAGTAGCTGTGCATTCACCTACGCCCTGCAATGATGCAAGAAAAATAAAATTACCAAAAAAAAAAAAAAATTAAAAAAAAAAGAGAAAAGAAGAAAAAAAAAAAAAAGAAGAAAGTATTAAGTTTCACACACTATTTGTACTCAAATATATTTTCTCAGTTTTAAATCTGCAGCTATTTTATCAAGTGGAAAAAAAAAAAGTAAAAAAAAAAAAAGTCTTGAGCTGGAAAGGGTTCAAGAATAATGTTGCATTTCCTTATGTCTCAGGAAACACTTTTTATGGTAACTTGTCAGACTGTCTATGAACAAAAAAACCCACTTTTTTAGACATGGATAAAAGTCTTCTTTTTCTTCACGTGCTATTTTATACAAGAACACTTCAAAAATGTGTTATTAGATGTGACTGATTTTAACAAATCCTATTAGATTTGTATCAACTAGTTACATGTTATATTCATAGTCTTTTGTGAATCATCACCTTTTTTTGTTTTTTTAAAAAGAAAAAGATGGCCTATTTTGAGCCTTTGTATGGGTACATTCCTGTTTCTGTGACAAAAAAAAAAAATGAAAAAAAAAAAAATCTTAAACTGTCCCAAACAGAAAAAAAACCCAAACCCAACCCACCCCCATGGCTATCAGAAGTATGTTTTGTTTTAGTGTGTTACCGTTACTGTATTTGTTTATTGTAAAGGTGGACATTTAGCGTTCAGTGCAGTTTTCAATAAAAAAAGTGATAAAATTGCCATAATTTCTGAAAGGTAAGAGAAATCCAATAGTAATATCCACTAATAATCCAGTAATCTTCAACCCTGCAATCTAACGCTTCAGGTTGAAGAGCTTGAGAGCGCACAGGACGGTAGAGAACACAGCTCTGCTCACCCTGTGCCCTCCTCTGACACCAAATGCAATTTCACAGGGGAGAGCAGGTAAGTTTTCCTCAAGTCCAACCCGGGCACCTCGTGCAGCAGCTGGGACCTGCTGGCATCACGGGGAGGAGAAGGGTGACGCTTCGAGAGAGCCGCGACTCGCAGCGGCTGAGGATCTGCCCTGGGCTGCCTGCAGCCAGCTCTGAGAAATCAAACAGAAACTGGGTTCAAGTTTTAAAATCACACTGCTGGGGGAATGCTGAATTTCATTTCCCATCCAGGTTTTCAGGTGGTGCTGTCCATAAGCTGTAAACTTCTTTGTGATTTGTATAATTCTTTCTATAAAATATAAAATCAAGTGGGACATGAATTGCAGCCTAGGGGGGAAAAAACGATCACTATGGTTTCCATTAAGCTACAAAAGCAGCTGCACCCCAAAAACGATGGGGGTTTTTTTTGTACTGAAGACATGAAGCATTAGCACACTGCTGGGGAACAAAGCTGGAAACACGCTGGAGAGGTGCGAGCAGCTTGGAGCCTCGCTGGATGAAAAGCCCTTTCCGTCACTGCCACCCCCTCTGTCACCCTGCGGGGGAGAGCGCCAGCGCACGCGGCCTGGGATGGGGCAGAGAGCTTGGGCTGGAAAAGGACTAAAAACAAAGCTGAAACCAAAAAATGTGTCTAGGTTACAAAACTCTGTATTTTGTTTGCTTTAAATGAAACTGAAAAGTAGCTTAAAAAAAACCAGTCAACTTTATAGATGAGCGAGCGATCACTCTGTCAGCGATCAGCGTCCCACACCAGTGATGATCCGTGACCACCACCAGAAACCAGAAGGATGGAACAGGTTAGTTACAGAGAAAGCGTTTGGGAAATACTGAAATGATGGTAAAAAACAAGAAAACATGTAATTGATGTTAAAAGTTTAGAGTTGTTTTAAAAAAATAAACTACCTCTGGTACTGTGATGTGTTTTTAACCAAGCAGTTGCACCCAGGATGGCTGCAAGTAATTCCCTGGCGCAGGATCTTGTGCATCTGCTGCCGGTGGTGGGCTCGGCCCTGGGACAGTGAGAGGCTGAGCTCGGATACCACAGAGAACAGCAAATGCTGCAGGTTCCACCCGACACTCAACCTCCCTCTCCACCAAAACCAAGGAGGGATGCAGAGGCAGGCAGACAGCTGTGACTGACGGGCTGTGAGCTCAATGACAGTAGAAATGAAGAGACCCCAAAGGTTACAAACCAAAGGGCACGCTGTGGTGACAGACGGCGGCAGTTCTAGGGGTTCCCCTCTGCTGCTGGGGTGCAAACACCAATGAAACACACAAAGAGAAGACCCAGAAGCAGAAAGGGAAGAGGATCAGCGTAATTAAGATTTGCCAAAGCACCGGGACGTGGCAACGCTGCGACTCAAACGGAAAATGATCGGGCAAAGGAACGGGAGATGAACGCTCGCGGCTGAAGATCTGCGCCGTGCTGCTGCTGCCACGCTCAGGGAAAGCGGGGAGGCTCTCGACTCCTCTGATGATGGATGTCAGAGGAGCTTAAAAAAAAAAAAAGCAGCTTGAAGATATTAAATAAAACTTAAAAAAAGGGAGTTAAGGGAAGTTATGGAACAAAAGGGGATGGAAAGGGAAAAGCAGCGATTAAAGAAGGGTCTCTAAATGCACACCACAAACCAACTGTTAATGGGGTAAACACAACCTAGTGGTATTTGCCATAAGCCATGCAGCAGGACTTTGGAAGAATTCAGAATGACTAAATTTTAATATATTAAAAATAAAAGAAATACAGGATTATTATTTTTTTTTTCCCCACTGAGGAATTCATAAATAAAACCAGAAAAAAAAACAACAACCAAACAAAACCCAACCAGATGTAAAGGAGGTAGCAATGAACAGCCAAGTTCTGCGCTAGGAAAGCGTGTGCTACTGCGAGCAAGAACATGAGGAAAAATAACAACACTGAGAAACCCGATTTTATAGAGAGACTTGGCTCCAGGAGCAGAACTCGCCGACAAGCTGCAAGGTAGTGCTGCAAAATTCATCTTTACGAATTAATATTTGTAAACTTTCAAGTACATGATTGGAGGAGAGGACCCAGTGACACAGACTGACTGCCGGGCTGGCACAAAGCAGGGGTTTGCAGCTCTTTAATCTACAGGTACACGAGGTCTGGATTATTTTGATTTGGAAAAAAAAATAATAATAATTAAAAAAAAGAAGATACTTCACCAGTTCCAAAACGACCCGTGAAGCGTGTCAACCTGAACATACCATTTCACAGCACAGCAGAACAAAACAGTAACAGTCAAGAAAGCCAAGAGCTCTGAAGTACCAGGACTGTCCTCCCATCCCAGAACGAGATAAACACGGGAGAGCACGGAGCATGCTTCTGGAAAACAGCTGAACTGAGTGCAGGGCCAACTGCCGCGCCATGGGGAAGCGCTGGTGGGATGGGGATGGGATCATCAGGCCACAGAGAGCTGAGGAGAGGCGTGCTCGTGGGACTTGGCTCAAGGTAGACTTTCACATTGGTTATTCTCCCCGTGTTACAAGGAAGCTTCACTTCCTTCAACAGATCAGTACTGCAGAAAGCAAAAGGGGCAGGGGGGGTGTTAAAATTCTGCAGAGCGTTTTGCACACCCCTGGAAGTTGTCTACTAAAGGTTGGAGCTCATCCTTCTGCCTGTTCAAATGGTGGTCTGCACGGGGAAGGGAGTCCTGGGTAAGCTGGGATCCAAATTTCCTAGTTACAGAACGAGAATTTCTGCTGCTGCCATAGTTAGTCCTGAACTAACAGGACCTCCAGAGGTCACTGGGTTACACCACCACAGGGAAACGATGCCACAAGCACACGGTGCAGACCAGCTCAGCTCATGGAAACTCTCATCCCAGCTTACTCCACAATCACTTCCCCTGACAGAAAAGACCTCAGCTAGACCAGGTATAAAAGGATGTTACTGCAAGGTGAGAAAAAGGACCAAGAAAAAAAAAAAAAAACCAAAACAAACCAATTTCAAAAGCAAACTTGAAACAGGACCATCGTGAAGAACCTCTTGTGAGAGCCTCTTTAGTATCTGCGGTTGGCCTGCATCGTTGCAGATCAACACGTGTCCTCTGACCTGAAAACTGCACGTGCACCTATCAGAGGAGATGGAACGGCCAAAAAAAACCCAAAAGAAAGGTGGAGACACTTCATACCAAAGCTCAACGGACTCTGCGATGGGAAAATCGCTCGGTTAACACAGTACTTCATGACTTGGATCCTTTAGGTGTCGTCACCACGTTTATGTAGGAGTTGTCCACATTTCAACACCATCCAAGCAGCATTTGTAAGAAGAAGAAAAAAAAAAGCAGCAAGTTCCTCGGGTTTTTTTTTTTTCCATAGCTTGGGAACTACATAAAAAATAGGTGCTATGGGGTTTCTTTCCAAATTCTAATGAAAATAATTTCATCTACGGCAAAATTCCTTCTTCAACCACCACACCATCTCCAAAGTGCTTTTCAAGACAACCTGAATTGCACTGTCTATGTAAAAACTGGCATTAACCTTTAGTGTTTTAAGTGAGATTTTTTTTTTTTTTTTAGATAAACTTTATCCATTACAGGTTACATGGCTAAAGTTATCAAATATAATAAAATTTCTACCGGAGAATATACTCTGAACTTACAATCTCAGGAACTTACAGAAGTTTTAAAGTATGGCCACATCAATCAACATGCAAGAAATTCCCAGATTTACATACTGAGAAATATATAACACAGTGCTTTTAAAAAAAAAACCAACTTTAGCATAGATTCTTCTTTTTAATTAGAACTGCCAAGTGTGTTCTCACTGGATTTAATGACTGAGGAGTAACCCTTTAAAAAGGTGGGGTTTTTTTTTTTCATTTGCAGCGATGTTTTAAGTGGATGAAAGAATAAATGATAAAATGACACGTGGTTGGTATCACAGCAAGAGCGAGTTCTGAAAATAGGAAATTCTCAATCATGTCCGAGTTCTCAGATTTCACACAATTTTGTTTAGTATAGGCTCACTGGAATAAAATCCCTATATTTTAGGTCACTTCTTTGAATAAATATTCTTACTTATACTGAAAAGAATCTATTATTAGAAGAAAAAGGAAACAAAAAAAAAAGCCAAACCACCTTTTTCAGGAAACAAATCATTTCAACTCAATGAAAAAATTTAGCTTCTCTTCCAGTTTGGTTTTTTTCCGTAGAGTTTATATTTTATTATATGGGCACAGCAGTAACTAAAATATTAGTGAAATAATGATGTATTGTTTTTTTTTTTACTTATGACTTGCTGTGGACATTCTGTGCAAACAAAAAAAAAAAACCCAAAAGAAAACCTCACAATCTTGACCTGGGCACTAGTGAGATTTCACAGAAAAGGGCCTTTGATGGAAATGTGTCAGAGTATCTAAAAGGTGATGCAGAATACCAAGTTCTACTGTAAAAGAACCTCGGAGGGAAGAGATATCCACCTAACATGTGCTTTCGTAAGTGCCCTTATTTGAACAATTTCTTTGCAATAATTAAGATGCTGGTATACTTTTCCTATTACACAACCTGTTACACAACCACATGCGGTACATTTATAGACAGATTTACAATCAGAAAGAAAAATGGGGATTTTTTTTTTTTTTTCCTGTCTTGATAATAAAATTAGCTGTTTTTTTGTTTCTTTGTTTTTTTATACAAACTTGTAAGTCCAGCCCATTTCACTCTCTTCATGCAGCAGATGAGCTTGTAGACTCCTTTCCATGCTGGTTAGAAAAATCCTTTACAGCACTTTTCCCCTAGGATTGAGTCGTTCCACAACAAACTGCTAGAGCACAACGCTAACTCCGGCTCACGCACGCTCCGTGCTGGTTAACTTGCAATTCTCATTCATCATCATCATCCTCGTCTTCCTCGCCATCAGAAAGGGATGTACAAGGGCGGATCTGTCGGTAGCGATCGAGCCACTTCTCGACCATCTGGGTGACCAGCGGATGATTGCGCCTGCGAGAGCTTTTCTGCATGGCAACCAGAACCCCTCCTTCGGTCACGCAGCAGTCCAGCCACTCCCGAAGCAGCTTCTCTTGCTGCTCCTCGTTACCTATCTTTGGGGGAGAGAACACAGGTTGGGAACGAGCCTTGAAACGTCACCAGCCACTTCAAACAAGTCACCTGTGATATTCTGAAACACCCAGGGCGAGCAGTGCAGCTCCTTTTCAAAGCTGACAGAGTCAGGGTACTAGTTCATAGAATCACAGACTGGTTTGGGTTGGAAGGGACCTTAAAGCTCATCCAGTCCCAACCCCCCTGCCAGCAGCAGGGACACCTTCCACTAGACCAGGTTGCTCAAAGCCTCATCCAACCTGGCCTTCAACACTTCCAGGGAGGAGCAGCCACAGCTTCTCTGGCCAACCTGGGCCAGTGTCTCACCACCCTCACAGTGAAGAACTTCTTCCTAATATCTAATCTAAACCTCCCCTCTTTCAGTTTAAACCCATTCCCCCCTGTTTTGTCATTAATTGCCCTTATGAAAAGTCATTTATTATATAATATATATTGTCGTTGTTTGACAGAAAGGGCAAATGGGCTGTGGAGATGGAGTGATGTGGGGAAGGTCACAGTGAGCCTGTCTTCACAGCAGAGCTGCTCCACCCCTCGGATCATCCTGGTGGCCTCCTCTGGACTTGTTCTAGCTGCTCCATGTCTCTCTTGTGTTGGTGGCTCCAGAACTGGATGCAGTTTTCAAGGCATGCTGGTATTGACGTGCACAGTGAAGGGACATTCAATTTACAGAGCTACAAATAAGCATCAAGTTTGTGGGAAAATCTCTTTCAGAGTCCCCTCAAATGATTGGGAAGGGAGCAGTGTTAATTATACAGAACATGTAATTCTTTGAAGCACAAAAACATACGAGGCTACAGAGATTGCTGAGGCCACAGCTGAAATAAGCAGCTGTGAGAAAGGCTACCAGCCACACAACTATTTCTTACCTCTTGAGCAGAAAGGAAGTGAATGTGCAATAATTTCCTCTCGCTGTCCACCAACGGTAGAAAAGTCACGGTCACATCATCGTCAGTGTTCAAGTTAGCACCAGCACCTCGATTGCCATAACCATCGTTCTCCATGGCAACCAGAGCAGAGAAATGGCCCCTCGTGTAGCCCAGAGCAATAGGACTTTTCCAACAAAAACTCTGTTCCCATAACAAAGGCAAATACACACCTACAATAAATGAACACAAAGGTCAAGAGTCAGAACTGCAGCGCTCCACAAGGAAGATTTTTGATACAAACCTTTTGCTTTTGGTTAAACCACAGTAACAGCAGCACATCGTAAGCATTTAAAATGCACTTGGTTTGGTCTGCACTAAGGGGGGGGTCACACTTTTCAGTACAGCTCATTGTTATCATGGAATCACAGACTCATAGAATGGTTTGGGTTGGAAGGGACCTTAAAGCTCATCCAGTTCCAACCCCCCTGCCAGCAGCAGGGACACCTTCCACTAGACCAGGTTGCTCAAAGCCTCATCCAACCTGGCCTTCAACACTTCCAGGGAGGAGCAGCCACAGCTTCTCTGGACAACCTGTTCCAGTGTCTCACCACCCTCACACCAAAGAATTTCTTCCTCACATCTCATCTCCATCTCCCCTCTGCCACTTTCAAGCCATCACCCCTTGTTCTGTCACTCCCTGCCCTTATGAAAAGTCCCTCCCCAGCCTTCCTGGAGCCCCTTCAGGTACTGGGAGGCCACTAGAAGGTCTCCCCGGAGCCTTCTCTTCTCCAGGCTGAACAGCCCCAACTCTCTCACCCTGTCCTCGTCCTCATTCCAAGGTTAACAGGAGATTAATCAAGTATCTCTGCAACTGTACAAGTTTAGACATAAAAGCCATCACAACTACACCCAGTACCACGTCACCACTCCCCTAAAAATCTGTGGGCTGTAGCGTAGCAATGAACAAAAAACCAGCTTAGAAAAAGCAGTCTTTTATGCATGGTGACTTCTTAAAACTAATTAAAAAAATATACATAAAGAAAGAAAATAATTAGATTCTGCATCACAGCAATAAAAGCCACAGTCAGAGGCTATTTTTACCAGAATAAAAATTCCACCATCTGCTAACAAATCTTCTTATTAAAAGAACTTACTGCACTAAGTGTTATTCAGCACCTAACTATGTAGCCCATCCCAGAGACAATGGGACTTCTCATACACATTGTATTAACAGATTAAATTAAACCACATCAATTATGCATATCTAGTCTCAAAAAAACCTCCCAAAAAACAAAACAAAAAACCCAAACAGACAAAAAAAAAAACAACAAAACAACAACCCCCCCCAAAAAAATAAAAAAAACCCCACCATACCAAAAAGCTGATACTATTTTTGCTCAGATACAACAAATTCCTGATGTCACAGATTATGGAAGAAACTTACTTTTTTTTTTCTTTCCCCCACCATTTTTATCAATAAAGACAGTAATTTGCTTTGAGGTGCACTGAAAATAAAACTAGAACTCCTTTCTTCTAGGAACACCAATAATTCTTGGGGGGGGTGTGCGTGTGTGTGTGTGTGTTTGTACTGCTGGAAGACAACTTCAGCGAAAGCATGGCTCACCTTGTGACAGTTCAAAAATAGCCAGGCGTACCCTCGAGTGCCCATGTAGCATAGCAACCTGTCACAGTGCAGCTGCTGCCAGCGCGCCGCGAACAGACGCTGCAGCAAAACAAGGCACTTCACTTCTCCTCCAACACCCATGGAAATGGAAATGTGAGGCAGGGAGTGGGTTTGGAGGTTTTACTTAAGTTTAGAACTCATCTTTCTTTGCTGTAATAAAAATTAGTGGTGGCTACTGGTAAATTTTTGTCCCTTCCCCCCCCCCCCCCATTCTTAAATTAGCAATCAAGAAATACCTAAAAGTCTTTCCATTTCTTTTAGATTAAGATTCACACAAGTTTTTATTTCTAGCTCTAAAGACAAATCCATTTAACACCTTCTTAGTGCTCCCATCCTCTTTACAATGAAGTCTCACTGTAATGCAATGCTAACCACCAAAGATGCAGAAAAAGGGTTAAGTGTTAACTAAAAAAAACTTTCAACTCTTTACATATCTA